GTTCAGGAAGTAGGAGTCAGTCACCATCACTGTATGGAGAAGCAGAGCAGCAAACATCAGGCTTGTTGCCTGGAGCAGGAGCTGAGGGCTCACATCTCAAACCACACCCGGAGGCAGAGGAAGCAAACGGGAGCACGGCCACACACGCTTAGCTTCTCCAAACAGTGTCAGCAACTGTAGACAACACATTCAAATGCCTGAGACTATGAGGGGCACCTCACTCAGACCATTGCAGTTCTGTAAGATGTATATGGTTTAGTCACACAGAGAGCCCTGTATATATTCCAACAAGCCAACCACTACATAAACGTCTATCGTGGACACATTTGTGCTGACTGCCTCCTGTGCAGCAAAGCCCTGCAGCCCCTGTACTGCAAGGCAGACTTACATGCCACAAGCAAGTGCGCTGACAGACCATGGATTTACACTGCCTTAACTCCTGTCTGACATCACCTCAGCTTTATGAATAAATAAATATGTGCTCTTGGGAAACACTGATGTGAGAGGAAAAGTCAATAGCCACCCAGATCTGAGCTCTGCATGTATCTTCAAGTCCATTGTGCCCTAAGCGTAAGACCATACGTGCTCCCTGCAACAGGGAGAGGACATGTATCTGCAGCAAGTAGCAGCTTCCCAGGCCCCAAGCACTGTGTCTCCTCTGTTCTCCTTACATGCAGCTGATCTCTCTAAAAGAGAGTTGGAAAGAGGAAAAAGCATGGGTTCAGGCAGTGCTGAAGCCTTGACTACTGCAACTCCGCCTTCTGAGGATCTCAGTAGTCACTGTGTAATTCTCCTGTGTTTGTGAAAGTTTTCTTTTCCCCCACAGGAGTATTTAAAGTCTGTGTGGGCTTAGGGGAAACTGTCAGGAGACTATTAACCAACTTGGCAATAGTGGTACCCTGGATGATGTGTGAACCAAGAAATTTAAAAAAATTCCCAACTATCTGAAGTGAATAGACATATTTTCTTGTGATTTAGAATATAATATAGGAGAAAAGAAAAAAAAAAGGTTAATGAGACTGACTGCAAAGTCTTCTGCTGACTGTTACCCAGGGACAGCAGGTAATTTACTGATTTAGATTCCTGGCCAAACCTTTCTTGCTGCTTTTGGATGCTTTTCAAGATACAGGCAGGTTGCTATTAAAATGAACTGCTCTCAAAAGTAAAGCTAACAGTGTATGCTGATATTAACCTCAAGTTTCTCAGCCAAAGGCCAAACTTCAGAGAGAAGCCAGGAGGAGCCGTCATTTCCTCAGCTCTGCAGCAGAAGCAAAGCAGTGGGAGCAGTTGTTGAAGGTCTGTGGTGCCCTACAGTAACCTTTGACTACAAAGTCACTTCAGAGGGTCTAGGCTCTTGCCTACAATTGAATGAATTAAAAAAGAATACCATTATCTCTCCCTCGCTCCTCAAATAAGCAGCTCATCGCTGTGTTAACTGTGGCTTCTCATGAAATACAGTGTTGCTTTGGACTGAGAGCCCACACCTCCCTGGGAAGTAATGATTCTGTCTTCTCAGAGCTGGGGGACAGGAAACACACCTGAACATGTGATGCACATACCCAAAGCATGGGCACAGCGGAAGCCTGCAAATGGGTTGGGGCAATTGAAATGTGTACTCCCAAATTAAACATTACAGAATAGGCCGCCGTCATCAAGAGAGGTGATAAAGACCCAGGCTGAGCCTTTTCCCATGTGGAAACCATACCATATTTCAAGTTTAGAAAGAATGTAGCCAACATTGTAGCACTGATATCAGCAGAAGAGTGAAGGACCTTGGACAGGTTTTGCTGTTACTTCCTTAAAACATGGACATGAAAAACAAAAAGAGAAAACAAAGCTACATTGTTGAGAAGATGCCTGTGTGAGGTCAGAGGGACAGCACAGGCTGGGGTCAGTCTCTTTCCATGAATGCCTTTTCTTTATTAGTGTTGAAAATGCTTCATTCATAGAAACCTGAATGGTCCACACAGTAACTAGATGTTGTAGGTACAAAGATAGGATTAGAACCTTGCCTTCCAGCTCAGCACCCATAGGAAGGTCATATAGAGGTGACTAGCAGCAGCAGGGCGTGACTGGAGATGCAGCTAATCAACTATATGGATCCTGTGGGACCTAGAGGATCAAAGAGGGCTTCTCATGGGAGATGGAAACTGAGGCGCGTCTAAAAAAGGCTCCAGAATTAATGAAGAACTAAAGGGCCAGAACATTCTCAGAAGTGAGAACAGTGTACATTGAGTCTTACATGTTTGTCTTGAAGCATGACATTCTAGAACACTTTAAGAAATCCAGCCCTGGAACTGAGTGGTGGTGGTTTATCCCCTTTTTAATTCTAGCACCTGGAGGCAGAGGCAGGCAGATCTCTGAGTTTGAGGCCAGCCTAGTCTACAGAGTGAGTTCTAGGATAGCCAGGGATACATATAGAAACCCTGTCTTGAAAAACCAAAATGGAAGAAATCCAACCCCATGAAGCAGGGTAAAGCATGCTGGAGGGCTGTCCAAGGCAGGGCCACAGGGCTGCATGGTCAGGTGTCTGGGTCAGTTCTTCAGGTTACAAAGGCACAGGGGTCACAGTGTGAGAACCATGAGAAGGGTCCTCAGTCAGGGAGAGTCACTCTGAAAGAAGCTACAGAAAGTTGATTTCAGACCTGATCTGTACATATATGTGCATGCATGAAGGCCAGGAACAAAGCATTGACCTGTGGCAACAGAGGAATCGAAGGTCAGAAAGACACTAGGAATAGTAGTGACAGCAAATACGTGACCCTCTAAGCACCAGCATCCTGAAACTTTTGCATTATTCTCTTCAATCCAGAATCTGGTGTGGACTGAATGGGGAGGAGCTACACCCGGGCAGACATTCCTGGCTTGAGTCAACAGGGGTGCCATTAATCTGAATGTTGATTCTAGGAAAAGCAATGAGCTGCAAGCAGAGGACAGCCAGGAGAGAGAGGAGAGAGCCAGGAGAGGAGAGAAGAGGAGAGAGCCGGGAGAGAAAGGAGAGAGCCAGGAGAGAAAGGAGAGAGCCAGGAGAGAAAGGAGAGAGCCAGGAGAGAGAGGAGAGAGCCAGGAGAGAGAGGAGAGAGCCAGGAGAGAAGAGGAGAGAGCCAGGTGCGGGAGGCGATTTCACTGTACACCTGGTCATTTGAAGAGTTGCCTGAGACACATAGATAGGGATTATCAGAAACTGGGGACAGGAATCTGATACTACAGAGAACAAACTGCGAATTCACATTAATTTAGAAAGAAAAACAATAAACAGAAAACTCTCTTCACTGAAAAGCCTGAGAGTCGGCCAGTGGGCACAAAAGGAGCAGACAGTGCTCTGTAGACACTGGGGCCTGTGAGTGTACTAGAGATGCATCCGATGTCTACTCCAAACTGCATGCTTCCCTGTTAAAGACTACTGGTCCCCTGACTGGAGAATGTCCTGCACTTCAGGTCACTAGTAAATGTGCAAGGCAAGGTGCTCTAGAGGAAACAGGGCTATAGTAAAAGTATTTAACCCCTGAATCAAGGTTCTTGTCAAATGTTGGGAGACCAGAGGAAGGCATTTATGGGGCGCAGATAATCAGCTATTAACACATAGATTCTTTAGCATCAGTTAACAAAACACACCACACACACACACACACACACATACACACACACACACACACCCCGGAAAAAACTCAAACAAACAACAACAACAACAAAACCAAACCAATGATCCAGCTCTCCTAACAGCAAAGACTTAACTCTGAATTTCTCAACAGGCATAAGATTTCAATAAAAGACAATGGTTTAGTTTTACCAAGTTCATTCTGTGAGGGGTTGGGAAAACACAGACCAGATGGACCCTTTTCTCTGTGAGCAGAAAGGCACAGTAAATGGTGTGTAATGGGATCAGGCCAGGAAGGCCAGGACACTTGAGATTTCTAAATCTTTTAAATGGGGTGAAATGACACTTTAAAGTCCAGGATTCATTTTAAAAAGTGATAATCTTACAGTAATCCAATTGCTAAGATCAAACATAAAATGTCTTTGTGTTGACTTGTCATTTGCATAGGCTCAATAATTTCACTCTGGATTTGATTCTGTTGACATGCCAGTCCAAGCCCAGACCACTCTGGGATTTCTGATGTAACTGGTACCCTTGCTGATCACGATCACAGTAAACATAGCCTCATGGTCCTGATGATGGCAGTGGTTGGGAGAGCTGTGTACACTGCTCGTCCTCCACAGAGCTCAAGAGTCCAGTTAGTATTCGCATCTCAGGATGAAGAAAGAGACGGAGATGGGGTAGCACTGGCCTTCCATAGAGGTCTCGAGAAGCAGAGTGAGGACTGAAGCACCATGTTGTAGGAACTGTACCTGCTGGTGTCTCGGACTCTTGTCTTTGGATAGGAAGTGTCCCATGTGTTAGAAGCCTGGTGGACAGCTGGTGGGGCTTATGGGAGGTGATTGAATTGTTAGGGCTGAATTCCATCAATAGATTCAGCAGTGATGGGTTCAGCCTGAGCGGAGGAGGGGCCCAGAGGAAGTGGGCTGCTGGGGATGCCTCGAAAGGCTGTACCTTGTCCTTACACACTCCCTCCCTGGCTCTCTGTTTCTGACAGCGAGGAGGGAGCAGCTTGGCCCACCATACCCTTCAATCTGCCTCACCATGGGCCCAAGAGTGACGACACTTCTGACCCAACTGTGACCCCAAACAGACCTCTCTTGCCATTTCTATCAGATTTTCTTAGAGCAACATTAAACAGACGAGTTGCAGCTGCCCCTGTGGCACAGAAGTCATGGTGTGACATCTAAGGTGGAACTAGCCCACTCCTGGCTGTAGCCGCACATCTGCATGTGCAGTCTAGC